GTTAAAATAGGGAGCCTGTTTCAATTTATCTAGCATATAACTGCAAGAAGTTGACTAGAGGAATTAAAATTTGACAACGAACTAAAAGAGAATGGATACAATGTAAAAGAAAACGTTAAAAACCGAATGGAAACCGAGTGTAGATTTCATAGGAATGGTCAATAACACGATCGCTTAATATATATATATATATATATATATATATATAATGATTATTTAACTTCCTCACATGTTTTGGTCTGTTTTAACACATGTTTTATCAAATGACTGTATGTAATATAGAATTACTTTCTACCACATTACTCAATTTCTTTTCTTACTTTATTACCACTATAACTAGCATCATAAGTTATTTCGTGAATGAAGATGACAATAACGCGCTGTGATTGTAGATTTGAGTTCACAAAGTTGTCTATCCGTTTATTTATTTTTTTTTGGTTACCTCCCGTTCTCATTGAAGTCTGTCACCATAGTTGTGGGTGCTTTATTCTAAAAGTATCCAGCTATCGACCAAAAGATGTGTGTACTGCGCACCAATACGATCTACCGTTCTTTATGACTTTATGATCACAGATGTTTGCTCTGTATCTCCGGTGTGTTAAGTGGAATAATATGGTGAGTAACATTAACGCTGGGAGTAGAGTGTAAGGTAAGAAGAGTAAGTCAGTCGGTAAGGTTGTGAAGCTACATCTATTGAGATGGCTATGACACACGTATTACACATGCGCAGCCGTCGCCTTCCTCAAAGGGTAATGTTAGCTGACATAGGATTAAGTTGGAGAAGAGTTAGAATATGGTCAAACCAAAACCTCGTACCAGTCCATGAAATCTTTGACAGTTGGTTTGAGCCTGCCATTGTAGGAAGGTGTAGACTGCCTGGTTGAGGTCCTCGGGATTCTAAGAATCAATGGTTTAAGATTGTTGGTGGAATGGCTTTGAGTCTTTTTCAATAGAGCAGATGCATTCACCCTTTGTAATCTTCCAGATCCATTAAATCATCATGCTCTTTCCATGTTACTATTTTTTCTCCGGTGTATATCTGCCTATTATGATCCTTTTGGATTTCTTTTCTCTACTTTTATGTGCTATACGGAATATGGAAACTTGAACTGCTGTACATCTGTGCATAGTTCTATGTTGAAACTCAGTTAACAAGTCGGGCGGCTCAGTAAACATTCTCATTTTGTTATTCATATCCCGAGCAGATATATATGATGGATATCATTACCTTTATTCCTCTCACAGACTTCAATTTCTTATCTTATCAGTTGAAGATCATATAAACTGAACCATGAAAATTGTTCCGACGTTTATGCATCTTTCATCTAATTTAACTTCAGTGTTTAAATACTGAGTTGTTTAGCGTTATACAATGGAGAAAAAGCTGTCTAAGATAGATTAATATTTCTTAATCTTAAGTTTTAGATTACTCATTCCACCTACTTGTATTTCGCGAAGCTTTAGCAAACCTAGAATTAGTAGATTCACTTCCTAGGTACCCCCAATTTATTTCTGCATTAAATTCAAAGGGATTTCAAAACAGTATTTTAGCTGTGTGGTTCTATTACGTATTCGTAGACAGACAGACATGTGGTCTGGCCTTTGATCCTCAACTGACGTGCCCTCCTAAACCTCGCCTGGTCTGTAGTAAACTCGGTAAAGAGGGAGAAAGTTTGACGTGTTTGACTAGCATCCGCACTCCGTAAAAGGCAATACCCCCACTGCCTAAGATCAAGCTTGAGGCTCTATATTTGACTCCGAACACAAAGGAATAATCATTATTGTATTGGTATCGGTGATATTTAGGACAAAAAATATTAGTATTATCTTGATTCTTATCATTCAACCAAAAAGTATATTTGCTTACAAGGAAATCCAGTAACCAAGTGCGATTATATGTACACCCCAACAATCTGAAGCTTTTATTCAAACTTTGTCTATACAATATGAATCACCCTTTCAAAATATCACTCCCTTGAGTTATATGTATCCTTTTGATTGATGCTATTTGGGTGTTAAGAGAACGTTAAAGTGAAGTAATTAAATCATAATGGGGGGAGGGGGGGGGGAGAATAGCATGTATCAGTGACCGAGAAAGAGGCGGTGAGAGAGAGAGGGTAAATGATAGTTGACAGTTGCTTGTATATCAGTTGTTTAATTTTCGTCATGAACCAACATGAGGTAGAAAGATCATTTGAAAAACAAGAGAGTACTGGACTACTGTTTCGTCCTATTTCTGGACTCTTCATCAGCGCAAACCCACGACTCCACCAGGCATCCAACCCTGGGTCCTTCAAGTTATGAGACCAGCACGTCGACTATTCAGCCACCCGATCTGGAGTTCAATTCGTGATATAGCTGTACCCTCACTTATGTTAGTTCGTGAAAAAAAAACACAATTGATCCAAATCCTCCCCACAAATCACGTAATGTAAAGTTAGTTGCTGGTATGTTGTTGGTGTTTGGAATTATCAGTGCTTTCTAAGTTTTTACATTTATGACACCGATATATATATATATATATATATATTTCCTAGGAAAGAATGATTCACAAGATTTTATAGTAAATAGTAGTAGTACTAGTGTTTGTACTACTTAGCGTTTAAATATAGAAAAAAAAAACCAATCACTCTAACCATACGCTAACTACGTGCACATGAGTTTTGCCAACCTATACATGTTTTTATATTTGCGTATGAAAAATGTGAGCAAAAATAATAGAGTAAGAAGTCCGTTAAACGTTACATATAGTTACAAAACTTAATTACCGAAGTTGTTTTATTCTAATTTGAATTTATTAGAGAAAAAAAACGTTTTACACCTAAAAAGATTTTTCTAGTATAAATTTCTGAGTCATGCATATAAGTGTTGTTTTGCTAACATTGAAAAAATGTCTGTTCTTACGGTTGAATAAATAATAATTAATAACACAAACGTTTTTAAATGAGGCGTGCACTTTTATTCTTACGTTGAATTCCTTCATAATGAAATGTAGTTCGATTGGATACCAGGTAGCAACTAGTGTCATGCATTTAGGCCTTCGTTTTCTGCATACTGAATTCTGTCAATCAAATTTAAAATGTGGTTACCGGGCTAGGTGGTTCTCTATTTCGGTGCACTCTGAATTATTAGATGGTTAGAGTTGATCTTCACAAAGCCTTAAACCTAGGTTTCATGCTTGTTGGTACTCGTCAGCGACGTATATCTACAATCCTGAAGGAACTCATGTAACCTCTGAGATTCGAACCCGCGCAATCCGATGCAGTAGTCAGAGACGTTACCACTATGCTATTGGGGCATGCCATTGACCTTCTGTTGGACTGTATCGGATACTTTGATTGGATACAAGGTTGTAACTAGCTGATATATATATATATATATATATATATATATATATATATATATATAAATATATAGGTTTTGTGTGCATTTCGGATTGTGAGGGCGATTGTTACTTCCCGGCTGCCCACACCGTAGAAGTTGGTTGCGTGACCGCAGAGCCCAGGGGACAACTGGTTGAGGCCGGTCACACGCGGCCTGTTTTTGTTTGTTCTTTATTGTTTGGTGTGTCTCAGGAGCATATTTATCACTCCTGCCCTGTGACACGGCAGTAGGAAGCGCGGTCGTTGTTAATCCGGACCACGGCCGATCCGGCATGATATTTTTTGTGAATTTGTTTGAATCATGGTATTGGATAGGGTAGCTGCTTTTTGTTTAACCGTTATCCAAACAACCTGCCTGGTATGGTAGAACCTCAAGAGACATAAGTCTCAGCCAGTATAGCTTGATTAGGTCATTGGTGTGTTCAAGCCCGACCACCACGTCAAGGTAGCAGCTTTTGGTCGGGGCCCTCGGGACTCTAGGAATCAATGGCTGGATACAATAGGTGACATGGCTCAAAATCGTTGTTAATGGCGCAGATGTATTCAGTCTCTGTAATCTTTCATATTCCTTTCTACCATTACCCATTCTGTTTCACTCTTATACTTGTCAAACTCTATTGATTCTCTTCACTCATCTTCTTGTCTACCTCTGTGTGCTATTTGGAACGTGGCAACTCGAACTGCTGCACTTCGGTGCCAAGCTCTATGTTGAATCCAGACAGACAGAGACATATATATATATATATATATATATATATATATATGTATTTACAACTTGATTCCACACCTTTTTTATACAAGTATGGAATTTTCAGCATGGATTTGGGTAGCCCAAATTTTGCAGGCCGACCATAGATATCAGGTGTGCGTCGGCGAGATTCCTAACCATTGTGCCATCGACGCACATGGATAGACTGTATGAACAGTGGATCAGTCAGTTGTCTCATAAATAGCTAAAGAGACAGTCGATGGATTATCCTTTCCTATACCCATATCATTGGGAATATATATATATATATATATATATATATATATATATATATATATCGTTCTTTTTATAAACATAGATATACTTTCCGTTTCACCTCGTTTTGTTTTCTTGTTTAAGTAGCGAGCTGGAGATATCAGGTAGCTGTTGGCCTAAATAAGTGATATTTTTAATTACCATGTCTGTACTAGATTCGGCGTCCCCATCGATTCATTCTCAGCATTTGCCAAAATTTAAAACTAGTGTCATACATCTGCTCAATCCTTTGCTAAATTTAATATTGTATTTCCTATCGAATAATCATATTTGCCTAAATGTTCCGTCTCTGCTGATACATCGGCTCCTAGGGTGGATGCTTTGATGATGTTTAAGAATGGTGATTAGCAGTAGAGTCTGGGATGTGCATTTCGTCTCGTCATTTCGATTGGTCGTCTGGATTCCACTGCTAATCACCATCCGTCTAATAACACCATGTAGATTATTTTGGTTCATATAATCATCCTACCTAGTGTGTTTTATCAGCGTCAACTAAAATTAAAAATAGTCAAGTTATTTCCATGCACTTAAACTATTGTTCTTTCTCTTTGTGTTTTTTTCCCTTTACGAACACGTTATCTTCATCATTACAGCAAGATGTTCGGTATAATTTACTAGCTGTTGTACCAGATCGTCGTGTAGCGCTTACAAAACGTATGCAAATGTTGAAACGCAATCGTCAACTTATTCAAGATATCCTGATTCGTATGTGTCAATACGATCATACAACTAAATCTCCACATTGTTCCAGCAACAACAACAATGATAACATCACTTCTACTGTTACTGCTAATACTACGACGACGACTTCAGTTGTTGATCATAATCATTTACATTATAAAATTAATGGTCATCACCATCATATTGAAGAGCAGTACAATTCAAATCATTCTCAACATTGTATGAATCATGACTGTGTTGTTGCGATTAGTTCCTCCTCCTCCTCGTCGTCGTCGTCATCATCATCATCTTTGTCTGCGTCTGTAGAACTACGTGATTCTCCACATCAAGGAAAAACTTCTATGACATGTATGCATGATCACAATTGTAATAACATTAGTCGTATTAGTAGTAGTAGTAACATTATAAATAATACTGATAAAAGCAAGTAAGTTTTATTTTCTGGTTATTTATAAACAAAAGTTCATTGATTATTTTCTCAGTTTTCAAGGGATTTGATTAGTTTTAAGATTGGTCACGAAATGATTTCAGTTAAAGAATCATTGGAAACCGTGGCATACTACTGGACAGCTAGCTGATTCGTCCTAGTTTGAGAATTTATCTAGTGCTCATTAGTGACTGAATACAGGATGAAGTTTGCCTGAAATTCTAGTGGGAAGTGGTAACCAGTGAGGTTATGAAGACACAGATATTCGCCGATGACATTAGCTGGGGGGTTGCACTACATATTGCGAAATGTCAGAAGGTAGAATTTATGGGCCATTGGATTCCGTCGCAGTAGCTGAATGAGTTATTTACGAGCTTGTCTTGTAACTTGAGGTCGCTGTGTTCGACCCCGTAGGGTAGGGTCATGGGTGGGTGCCGATGAACTGTGTTGACGTAGGACGAAACGGCGACTGTTCAGTACTTTTCCTGGCTTTCAGTGGTACTCTAACTGAAGTCAGTTCATGACCAATCTTTGAATTTGCTATGTTTAATATTCACGAGAATAAGGTAGCTCATCCAAATCATAGTTATTTTGAATGCTATTGTTGATCTTTGTAATTATCTACTGCAAGGGCAATGACTGACTAGTTTCAACGTAGAACTTTGCATAGATGTGCAACAGTTCCAGTTGCCACACTACCACCGTGTAGCACACAAAACAAAAGAAGAGAATAAAGAGAGATTCAAAAGAGAGATAATAAACAGAAATATGAGGCTACAAGAATAGTAATATGCAGGAACAATACAATTTTATTGGATATTATTGATCACGAAGAGGGAACGCACCTGCGCTAGCCATCAGTGAAAACGATTTTGAGGCATATCACCAATTGTCTCCAGCCTTCATTGGTTTTTACCATCCTGAAGACCCCAACCAGTCAGGAAGTCTACACCTCCCTACGTGGTTGGCTGGCTTAAACTAACTGTTATGGATTTGATTGACTGATGAAGACATGTGTTTGTTTGACCACTACTAGCTCTTTCTTTTCCAACCTGATCCATCCTATATCAGTCAGCTGGGATTGCCCGTCGGTCGAGGAAGGCGATGGCTCAGCTATGTATGCGTAACACATGTCCTAACCATCCGTTTCAATCTGTGTAACTTCACAACTTCGTCGGCTGACTTTCCCTCCTTACGTAGCACTGGACCGATGTCTTACCTCGATGTTGCTCACCTTATTATACCACCACCTAACACGGGAGATAGAACTCAGACACCTATGATCAAAGACAGATAGCCAGGCTTTTTATATCTTCCACTTTCAATGGCCATGTCTGCTGAGCTGTGCACACTCCCTTCGGTCGATAACCAGCCGGATATCATGTCTACTAAGCCAGAGATTGCGTAAGTTGGCGTATGCCAAGGCCATACAAAACTTTAGGATTACAGACTAGTCAGTTTCACGCAGACATGATAGTGTTTGTGTAGTTTTCTGTCTTCACTGTAAAATTGACATATTTTGAAGGGAGGTTTGTAACATTCATTTTATTGTGGAATTTATGCGTATCACTTATATATTAGAGAAATAGAGATAACTCAAGTGTCGTTTAACGGTTGAATTTATTGTGTTTGCCTTTCTTTTCATTCTGTTTCAAAATATAATCACACTTATCGACAGAAAAAGAGAGAGGGAGATTATGCTACTGAATTCACATTATTTTGAAATATAAATCTCATTGGTGATAATACCATCTAGTAGGATTGCGGAACTATGAGCCATTCGTTTAGGCTTCTGATTTCCAACCAATGAGTCATCGGTTCGAACATTATCCCATCTATCGAGATTCAGACCGTCAGATATTATCATTGGCGCTCAGGCAACTGGTGTGGCTCATCTACAACTGTATAAAAATGGAAGCGGTGATTGAGTAACATTGCCTGGTAAGGAACCGACGACTATACATTAGAAAACTGTTTTGTTTCCACTCCCAGCGTTCCGACTGGACCATAAAGCTTTAAGGTTTGAAATTTCACGAGCGCTCTCGCCTTTTTACCCTCTCGCCAAGCCTTACCTCTTTTTCAGGCTTACTGTCAGCTAGTAAGCTAGACGCGAGGTCTAAGATTGCGCCTGCCAGAAGTCGAACTCGAACCTTCCAGGTGGTAGATGTGAGCATTTTACTGCTGAACACAAAATGCACGAGCTGTACAGATACTTCAATTATAAAATAGGGTACCAGAATGGTTATTTAATAGAGTAAGTCGAGTTTTTCTGTCTAAAAATAGTCTTCTTTCGTCTAGAAGAATCTCAAGAATGAAGCAGACAATATACTTTGAGTGGGAGTGACTACCTACTAGATGTAAGTGTAACGAGCTCCTTTTATTATGTATGACGTAGATATTTGAAAAAACTAATGAAAAGGTCACCTCTACACATCACCATATTATGATGGTGCTGTTTTGTGAGAATACACATAATTAGTAAGTACTATGATGTCACAAAAAAGTATGTATATATATATATATATATATATATATATATATATTAAGTGTCCACAGGCAACTGGTAGAATGCTGACTGCCTCTGAGTTTCAACGTAGTATTTTGCATAGAAGTGCAACAGTTCAATTTGTCACATACTCTATATATCACACAAGTTAAAGAAAAGAGAGAAAAAAGCAATTCAAAGGAACTACTATAATAGGCTGAACCTTTTGCTGTCTAATTTGCTGCAAAAGCATAAACTTCAGACCAGGAAGAGGTTGATCATATCTTCACCCTTCGACAGATTCTAGAACATAGGTATTCCTACCGGCGTCCAACAATCATTATATTTCTTGACCTAAAGGCGGAATTCGATTCTGTCGACCGAGAGGTACTCTGGCGATGCTTGGCCGTAAAGGGAATTCCGAGAAAATATATTGTACTGATCAAGGCACTCTACTCGAACTCATGCAACCAGCTGAGGGCTTACGGCAAGTTGTCATCTGAAGTGGTGACGACTAGTGGTGTCCGTCAAGGATACCAGCCCATTATCCCCATTTCTATTCAATTTCATCATAGATGTACTAATGGACTTAACCCTAAGTGACTTAAGCGACTCAGGGATTGACTTGCTACCAGGGAATAATCTTGTTGATTTAGAATATGCAGACGATATAGTCCTTCTATGTGAGGACGCTGAAAAATAACAGAGTCTTCTAAACACCTTGAGCTGCAATCTACGAATGTTTGGCATGCGATTCGCTCCCGCCAAATGTAATATGATGTTAGAGGACTGGACTACACTGACTCCTAGTTTGGAAATAGAGGGTGAAGTGGTAGAGCACGTTACCCGCTTCACTTATTTGGGAAGTACCATCAGCCAACGCCAACGGGTTGATCACTGACGAAATCTGAGCACGGATACAGAGGGCTAGTTTCGCATATGCCAGTTTACGTCGTCTCTGGCATAGACGTGGTATCCGACTAACGACCAAAGGGCTTGTGTACTGCTCATCAGTCCACTCCGTCCTCCTTCATGGTCAGCTGTGAGACCTGGTCATTGAGAGTGGAAGACATGAAGAGCTTGGCTAGCTGTCTTTGATCATAGGTGCCTGCCTTCTATCTCCCGTGTGAAGTGGTATAATAAGGTGAGAAATATTGAGGTTAGGCGTCGAGTGTTAGGTAGGTGAGAGGGGGAATCAATTGACGAGGCTGTGGAATTACATCGACTGAGATGGTTAGGACATGTGTTACGCATGCCTAGCCTAGTCATCGCCTTACTCGACTGATGGGCAATGTTAGCTGACATAAGGTCAGGCTGGAAAAGAGCTAGCGACGGTCAAACTAAAACATGGATTCACCAGTCAATGAAATCTACAACAGTTAGTTCAAACCACTTAGGAAGGTGTAGATTTCCTGACTGGTTGGGTTCTTCGGGACGGTAAAAACCAATGGTTGGAGACAATTGGTGATATGGCTCAAAATCGTTCTCAATGGCCGTCCCAGATGCATCCACTCCTTGTGACTTATGATTTTCAATGGAACTCTATTGTTCTTCGTTATTACTATTCTTTTGTCTCACATCTCTGTTTACTGTTTCTAATATGCATTTCTTCTGCTTTCTTCTCTTGCATTGTGTGCTGCATGGAGTGTGGCGACTTGAACTTCCGCACATATGTGCAGAGTTCTATGTCAAAAACAGACAGGTAGAGACTATAATGAGCAGAAGTATACGAGAGTAAGAACAGTAATATAGAGAAACCTGAGGATTTAGTGGGTATAGGTGATTACAAAAAGTGAATACCTCTAAGTCGTTAAACAACAACTTTGTGCCTAATAGAAACATAATGCAGGTTACCTTTTGTTTTTGCATTCACTCCACTGATATTACATTTCATCCAGTATTCGATGTAATTGTCGTCATTGATTCATATGGCCAGTTCCATTTACATTATTTCTTTTCTTCACAATATTCTTTAGTGCTTGTTCTAATTAACTGAAGTTTTGTATTCCCTCGTTGATTGATTATATTGGACCAAAATGTTCAGTTTCAGCTGACCTATTGACTCATAATGCGGGCGCTTCGACGATGTCTGCGAATTCGCTTGTTGTTATTTGGTGGTGAAAAGTGACTAGCAATACAATCCAGGATGCGCATTTCGTTAGCAGGATACACCTGCATTTCTCGTGGTTCAAGTAGTCCAGTGGAGATAATGCTTTTGTCTCTAAAACGATGAGTTCTGGATTCAAGTCACTCACTGGGGGGTGGGGTGGGGAATGCAAGTACATCTGATTGAAAAGTGTCAAATAGGACGAAATGCATTCACTTCCTGGAATCTACTGCTAGTGATCATCCATCAAATCATTCTCTAATACTTGCTTTAATGGCTAATCCTGTACATAACAATTTTTATATGTATTACTAATCTGCACGGTAAGAATAAATTATGCTGACCGAAGCGAGACACTATTATTAGACTGACTTGAACTATCATTCAGGTGATCGATATAATAATACATTCTCACTACGATCAGAGATTGCCACTACATCAATACAATACTAGATTATTAGATGTGAATGAAATGTACAACATAATTCTTGATTTTCATCCGTGTTCACGTGTTTAAAAAAATCTACTATAGACTCATTTAATTGGCTGTTTGAGGTCATTCGAGCGTAGGTAGGTCATCATGCTTTACTCTTGCCGTTTGCACTTTAATGTCTATATTAAATAGCAACAACAACAATAATAATAATGATTAGTATACAATTGGTGGATGGTGGCTAGCAGTGGAATCTAGGATGCGCATTTCGTCCTATTTGGGACTCTTCAGCTGGATGTACCTGCGTTTCTCAGTGAGTGGTGATGTTCCCACCGAGGCTCGAACCCAAATATGGGCACTGCGTTCGAGCCTCGGTGGGAACATCACCACTCACTGAGAAACGCAGGTACATCCAGCTGAAGAGTCCCAAATAGGACGAAATGCGCATCCTAGATTCCACTGCTAGCCACCATCCACCAATTGTATACTAATTAAATTCCTAGACACCGTCGAAGCATCTGCACAAGAAGCCGACATGTCAACCTGAGACTGAGCACTTCGGTCCAATCAATCGACGGGAAAATGAAAAATTCAATTCAATAACAATAATGATGGTAATAACAACAATAATAATAGTGTTTTTCTACCTCTATGTAGATATGAATCACCTGATGATTTGGAGAATTCACATTCCATTAAAACTCGTTCAGTTACACGTGCTGCAAAACAAATAAATCATGATGAGTCAGAATTAATTAACAATAATAATAGATCAAATAATCAGAAACGAAATAATCTTTCTATATCTGATAAAGTGCATTCTTCTTCGTCTTTATCATCATCCTCATCGTCGTCTTCGTCATCCTCTTCCTCCTCCTCCTCTTCGACTTCTTCTTTCACTCCTAATGATTATAACAATTGTTGTCGATTAAATCGTAAACGTCCATCTTTTACACTGAATGAACATGAAGATGATAATGATTCAGATTATTGGAATTATGAACATAAAAAGCCTCATCTATTAATCTCGTCATCTTTATCACACAATAGTCATATCATCAATAATAAGAATAATAACAATGATAATAATAATAATAACAACAGCCAAAATGGATATAAGTCACATTCTGAAGCACAATATACATCGGATACAAATAAAATGAATAGAATATTTGCTTCATTTATATCAGATAATTCCTCCTCCTTATCGTTAACTACATTCACTACACAAACAACATCTAATAATACAATGAATAAACTATCTCATTCATCATCATTTACTGAAGATTGTAAAGATTCTAAAGAATGCTTACAAGATATTTGTAATACAACAACAAATGGAAGCATTATTAAGACAGAAGAAGAAAATTGTGTTGTAGGTGATAGAAAGGATTGTAGTTCATATGGTGGTAGTCAGATTACTGATGGAATACCAAAAGTAAGTTGGGTAATTTTTTGTTGTATATGACACTTGCGACGTATAGTGAAGTGAATAGCAGTCTCTTATACTATTTGCAGGATTGTTATTCCTTTGGGTTCCAAACGGAACACAGTGCTTCAGAAGCACATATCCACTTCGCTTTGTTCTCTGGAGTTGCTTTTTTTAACTGGTTCTATGATTGTTTATAAGCTTTCATCCCCCCTCCCCCTAAACGATCTTCTCCATGCCAATTTGTCGTTTCTCATTAGGATTCCACTTGAGAGGGTGATACGAGGTGTCGCTCAACTGGCTCTGGTTTCGTTTCATACTGCACATTTGTTAGGTTATAGGTTGTTGGCTTGTTCGTTTCCTATCAGAGTCCTTTCTAGTCGGCCATCTGAGAGAAGACAGCTCTTGGTGAAAGTCTGCAGCCACCTCTTGGAAGTGCTTTTCTTGACGCGCACGTCAGGTCTCTGGACCATAGTACTCAGTCGTTGTCTAACAGTAGAGTTGAGAATTCGGACCTTGTTCCTTGTGCTGAGTGAAGCAGATTTCCACAGCGGTTTCTGATCAATTGGGTTCTGTCTTGCTTTTGGGGTCTCTCTTACTAACATGCTGATCTGTGCATGCCGTCTTCTATTACTCTCTGTCTAAACTGTGTACTAGATTTGAGATCGTCTGACAAGAAGTCATCTAGACAACTCAAAACCTTTTTGTTGAACGCTGTTAGTGACAATGCTCAGAATAATTTTTTCTGGTTAATGCATGAGGAACAGGAACCTGTGTGCTCAGTCGCACACACTAAAAAACACTTAAGTGAGTCCAACAATTCATTTTGAAGTCTCATTCTGACAGACTTTTAGACTGTCTGTTTTCGACATAGAACTTTGCACAAATGTGCGGAAATTCAAGTCGCCACACTCCGTGTAGTACGCGAAGCAAGATAGGAAAGTACAAGAAAAGCATAATAGAAACAGTGAGCAGAGGTGTGAGACAAAGGAGGAAGAACAAAACAGTTTCATTGGAGATCATAAGTCACAAGGAGTGGATGCATCTGGGCCGGCCATTGAGAACGATTTTGAGCCATGTCACCAATTGTTTCCAACCACAGACTTTTACCGTCCCGAGGACCCCAGCCTGGAAGTCTACACCTTCCTACGTGGCTTAGACCAACTGTTGTGGATTTCATTTGGTCTAAGCCCCGTAGGAAGGTGTAGACTTCCAGGCTGGGGTCCTCAGGACGGTTCTGGTTGTGTGTTCTGGTTCTCTGTGTTTTGAGTACACCATAATGTTCCTTATTACTAGGTCTATATATTTATTCTGAAGTTGTCTATCGTAATATTTCAATTCTTATCGTCCTCGGTCACTTAGTGAATTTGTCGGTCTTGGATTCTGTTCTTTTTCTTTATTACGCTATCGTAACAGTTACCCAGTGTACAGAAGTCGCCACATTTTACACAATTTCTCATAAGTTATATCTTTAAAGTGTATTTTTATCAGAAGACGAAGCAAGGTCATGAATTCCTGATAAATTAAATTAGTGTTTCTTATGCAAATAAAGTGTAATAGTAAAAATAAAAATTGCGGATATGTGTAATGAAAACGACCCTGTTATACGTCTGATGGCAGATTTACCTCGAGAAATATTTACTTGAAGTCGTCATATTATTGGGAAACTGAGGATTACTTTAATGTTTTAATTTACTTCTATTTTTGATGGTGTTCGTAAAATGTGATAGGAAGGATCTATAATTCAAGGTGGGGTGTTATCTCAACTTTAATATTTGATCCTTATACTAGGTTAGGTAACTTCAATTCTTCCTACAGTGGTGATATATTTTCATATTACATGCTAATAGTACATAAAATAATATTTAATTAATTTAATTTTTGATTTACAGCTTGATTCCACACTGTATTTTCGGTACAAGTATGGAATTTTCAGCATGGATATCGGTAGCCCAAATTTTGCAGGCCGACCATAGATATCAGGTGTGCGTCGGTGCGGGCTCGAACCCCGGACCATGTGCATGGGGTCGGCGAGAGTCCTAACCACTGTGCCACCGACGCACATTTACTGTGTATTCTATATTTTCTTATGGTATTGTATTTGTGAAAGTATCTTCCTCGGAGTATGGATGTCTTGTATGGTTCTCCAAGTGAACTTTGTTATTTTTTGTTGTTGTCATTTGACAGTAATCTACCTTTTTGATAGGTACTTTAGGAGAACATTATTTTCTATAGTGGAGGGGGACCGTAACCCTTTAGACACCTCCAGTAATATTTAGAGTTTATTTAATCGCCACCAGTCATAGCTATGTTAGTTCCTTTCTTTGTATTGATTTCTATCAATTAAAATTGTGATTCACATTTACCCTGTTATTGACTTCATGCTGTACTGTTACTTATAAGGATTAGAGTCATCGAAATACTGTTTCCCTCTTCGGCTAATATAATTTTAGAGGTTTCGAATAGTACAACGGGTCATATAATAATCAAGCTGTAGTTATTCAACAACTTCATGCTTGTTAGTATACTGGGTAAAAATGACTGATGAGTGGTCTAAGGCGCCAGACTCAAGAATAATCTTTCCAGTGTTCTAGTCGACTGTGTGTGTGTGTGGGTTTGAATCCCACCTCCAACGCACGCTTGGAATCATACTTTTGGCGGCCTGATTAAATCACTGGGCTACATAAATCTTATATTCATCAAAATCCACAGTTTTTTACTCCGTTTCAAATTCTTTTTATCTCCTAATTGCCACAATGACTCGTCGTAATCTATACTCAAGCATAGTTTCAAATAAGTTTCCAACTACCTCTAAGAGTATTTTAAAGTAGGTGGAGGGAAAACTTTGTGGAGTAGCGTCGGAGTATAGTTCAGATAGAACAATATTTTTTCAGATGATTAATTGTCGATTATTATGTTGTTTGAAGATTCTGCACAAGGGGTAACTACATTGCCACGAAACTTGCTGAAAATTTTGTATTGTATATGAATGCATTTTTTGATAGTGAAGCGATTATTATTAATAATAATAATTATTCTTTGGTGACTCATCAACTGAAATTTCAATGCTTTGTGTAATGGGCTATAGCGTCGTCACCTTTAGTATTTCAGACTATGGATGTGTGTGTTTGTGTGTGATTTGTCTGAAAGGTAAATGTTAATTAACAGGATGAAATCATGCAGTCAAGATTACATATGTTGAGAAATGTGATGACTATTATTTGTGGGCTTGATAGCATGAAAATAATTGTGAAACCTAGAGCCAAAATTCTTCACGACATCTCGTTTTACAATGCCTATCACACCTATGTTATTATTATTATTATTATTATTATTATTATTTAAAACCTTTGTGGGTAGAGTAGGATTTAAATCTAAGGTCTATTTACTTAGTTGGAAGCTGAATATGTAGTCTAGTAGTAGTTGTTCATTGTTTGGCAGTTGTTGGAAGGAAATTTCATTCAATGGTGTTAACATTGAGAAATGAATATCTTGGTCAGAAAGCTGTTTCTTCACTAGGAAATCAGACAATTAGATGTTATTTCCCACGAGAACTAAACATTGAGGTTTTTTAAAATCACAATCATATTCAGTTTCTATATCTCATTCATCCGTTTGGTGGGTACTTTCAATTTCTAACGGGATATATTTGGTAGTCTTATCTTTTTCTTCTGAAGGAATGGGTGAAGATCTATAATGACACCGATGTAATTATATCTCCTTGTAGTCGTCACCTATGTACCCAGTGGGTGTTCTCACACAAAAGTTGTATGTAGCCAGTATTCCTATAAAAATAATCTGAGTTTTGTTTATGATAGTCACATTTTAGTTGATACTTTGAATATCTTCTCGGATAGTATAACTTTCAGTCATTCAATGATTAATAGAAGTTCATAAACATCTTAAGGTGTGTAAATCGGGTGGGTTTTAGACATCCGTAAAGATGTTTTTTTCATATCTTCAATAATCAATACATTATGACATACAGGATACACTCTTAGTATTATTATTATTGATTTAGTATACTCAAGCTCTATCAAATTACGAATTCCTTGGGATTGTATTGCTGAAAAGGTGGGAGTATTTTTAGAGTACTTTTAGCACTTGTCAAATGTTTTACTAATCTAACCGATCGATATCGGCATGTTTTCAAAGTTTCATTACACCAGTTTCCTTTCTGAAAATAAAACATAAATGTTGTCAAAGAGGCCTCCTTGAAGTAAATAATTTTCATTTGTTTTTATGTCAATTTTGATTTCCGCGATGATTGACTCCTAGTACAGACGTTTCGGCGATGTCTAAGGGTTAACTTGAAGTATTTTGGTGGATGGCAATTAACAGTGGCGTTCAGGATATACGCATTTCATCTTATTTGAAACGATGGGTACTGAGTTTAGGTTTCAGTGGGATAACTGAGAAATGCAGGTACTTCTAGTGAGGAGTCTCAAATAGGACGAACTGCGCGCCTATCTTAGGTTCCATTGCTAATTATTATACACCAAAGTAAAAGTTTTCAGTTTAGTCCTCTTCAAAGTATAAACAATAAATATGAATTTAAGATGAAGGATCACAAACATCTTTTTATAGACTCTTTAAATCACTGAAAATGATCTTAAGATAATTTCCGTTATAATTTGACATAAAGTAGTACTTCAATAATCGTCAAAGAGCACTGAATATCTGCTTCGTCTTAACTCATAACTTTGATACTGTCCCACCGCTGATTTTACACTAGAATACATTCAGGACCCTGTCATCATATAATAGTACAGATTTGTAGCTCAGGTGGATGATTTCGGTGTCGTTGTGTTCTCTGAGCTGAATGGTTTAGTTGCAAAGCTTTCATTACCTCGCTAGACAACATTCTCAATGCATACTTCAATTCGAAGTAAGCATCTTCCACAATTTGGATAGCGTTATTAAAAGACGGAGATTATCTGAAAACGTATGTGATGTATCTGAGCTATACATTTCGAACAATCTGATCACACATTTACTTGTCAAGTCAATATATATATGGAAAAGTTGAATTAAACAAAGTGACAAAACAAGATTTAAGAATAATTAACACAACGTTTGGTAATCCAATCAATTAAGGATTACCAAGGTAGGCTTAGAGTAATAATAAACTGTTTTTGAATACACAAGGGAGGGGGGGTAAGTTTATGAGCGCTTATTGAAATACGCCGAGGCTATAACTATTCATAAACTTAAGTCCCCACCCCCTTGTGTATTCAAAAACAGTTTCTTGTTACTCTTAACCTACCCCTACTCCCTACCTAATTTCGTTAGTATGAATGTGTCTTCACTAGTAATTTAGTTAACATAATGAGTTACATCTTTCTGTTTAAAAACATGAAGATATCCATTTTTCTATCACGTGTTGGTGAGCATTGAGTTATGTTTTTCTATTTTCATTTGACTGATTTAAATCGAAAACAATTTGTTCACAGATAAATATATATATATATATATATCAATGTAAATTGATTAAAAAATATTTTGACGATATTTACTTTTGGACTGGATCTATTGAACTTTGTGTTGCTTCGACAATTTAAAATTTTTCGATTAGTTTGGCTATATCTAATTGATCTAGGCGCTTGAATTCCAATCAGTTGGTCAGGGTTTGAACTCCACTGTATCTGCCGAGGTTCAAACAGCCTAGGTAGTATCACCAACCCCCTATATAACAGGTGTGGTTCAATGCCCCCTACTACATGGAATTGCAGTTAGTTGTTGGTTGTAACATTTCTTTTTATTTTCTTTCTTTCCAACCTTCAGATCACTTGAAAGTTCGTAGTAGTACTAATCATTTTCTTAGTTAGTCAGTTGTCTACAAGGCTTTTATTTGTCTCTCAGTTTACCACTAATAGATACTGATTCATTTTCTGGAGTTGTTTTCGACCACTGGATAAAGCTTTACATCATCTGACAGAAGAAATGGCTAGGCGATTCACCAGCAACGCCAACAGGAAAGCCTGATATACGTTACATATTCAAACACCAACTTAGTCATCTACAGGGTTCTTTAGTAAAACATTTTGTATTCATTTTTTCATACTAGCCAATCATCAGCAGTGTGTACCCGTGATCTCGCTATGGATAAAATCCAGGATCTTCAGGTAAGGAGGTAAACACGTTTACCATTCAATTACTGGACTAAAACCCAATCTCTCACGAATTCTAACTTCTGTTAATTTGCAGCATAGTGCTACTTTTGCCTAATGTCATCGGTGAGTATTCGTCTTCGCATTCAACTTCGTATGAATTTCATCGGTCACGAATCCAAGGAGTTCATACCTTAGTTAGTCACATTGAAGGTGTCCCTCCATAATGGATTAGAGGGATATATATATTGCTTTGGTTAAAAGTATTCTGTTATTAGATTCCCGACCATTACTGCTACCTTGACCTGGTGGTCGGGCTTGCATATCGCAATGGCCTAACAAGCTACACTGTCTGAAAATAATGTTCCTGCAGGTCCTGTCATGCCGGGAAGATTTTTAGGATAGCGATTAGACTAAAAGCAGTTACCGGCATAGTGTAAGATTTTTTTCTTTTTGCACTATTCTGGGGATTTGTGGGCAAAGTCGTACTACTGGGGGAGAGGGATGTAACAGCAGTAAGGTGTTTCCCTCAAACGGCCAACATGACAGCTATGGTGTCTTCCTACTCAGGAGAGAACGGGTTAGAAAAGGTCCACCCCCAAAATTGTACATCCCGACTAACCCTATGGTGGTCCGTAACCGGCTGTAAATGTACTATTTAAGGAAGAAATAGCGAAACGTGTGTCTGAGGTCGACAGCAGGACTTTCCCTGAGGAAGCCTGACACAATATACAGTTAGCTGTAGACACAGCTGTAAAAGCTGTTAATGACATTAAACCAAAAGTTAGTAAGATCCGGCGGAATTTTACTACCTCAGCGGAACTGATCAAAGCAAGAAGACTGATTCCAGTGAGCTCCAAATATGTGCGTCGGTGGCACAGTGGTTAGGACTCTCGCCGACCATGCACATGGTCCGGGGTTCGAGCCCACGCCGGCGCACACCTGATATCTATGGTCGGCCTGCAAAATTTGGGCTACCGATATCCATGCTGAAAATTCCATACTTGTACCAAAACTACAGTGTGGAATCAAGCTGTAAATCAAAAATAAAAAAAAAAAATAAATAAAAATAAAATTAAGAACGAAAGCTACTCAAACGAAAACTAACAAGAAGTCTTCGTAACGACTGTGAACACTGGCGGGTGGCAAAAGCGAAAGAGATGGAAAAGGCATCGGCGACTGGTAACATCAGACAACTACCTAGGCTTATCAGGGAAACAGGTGGTAAAAGGCAAATGATAAGTGAAACAATCTCTGAAGAAATTGGCACCATAATTATCTCCCAGGATAGACGACTGGAACGCTTGAAAGAACACTATGAGGAGCAGTTTAATTGGCCTACAGTCACGCTCAACCTGCCGAACATCCAACACCTCCCTGAATTGGATATAAACACAGGTCCTCCGTCCCTAACTGAGGTTACTAAAGCTGTCACTAGTCTGGACCTGATGGAATGACTCCAGAGGTGTTTAAGGATGGTGGAGACAGTTTACTATCTGCGTTAACTAAGGTATTAGGCAGCATTTGGGAATTAGAGACAATCCCGTCGGGTTGGTGTAAGTCATTGATTATCCCGATATACAAGAAGGGAGACAAGTCTTTCTGTGACAATCACAGGGGGATTAGGTTGATCAATACGGTATCTAAATTTCTAGGCTCAATAATGATGCGTAGATTAGGTGGTACTCGGGAAGAAAAATACGAGCAAATCAGACAGGCTTTAGACCAGGAAGAGTGTGTATTGATCATATCCTAACTCTTCGACAGATTGTGGAGCGGAGCATGTGTGTACTTCCCGGCGTCCGAAAATCGGCATATTTCTTGACCTGAAGGCGGCATTCGATTCCGTTGACCGAGAGGTACTATGGCGGTGTTTGACTGTGAAGAAAATGGCAAGAAATACATCGAACTGATCAAGGCACTCTACTCGAACTCATGCAGTTGTCAGCCAGGTGAGAGCCTACGGAGAGTTGTCATCGCCATTATTTTTTTTACCAGCAATAAGAATAGACATAGTTGGCTAGTCTCACTTTTCTCCTTGACTTTACCATAGATGACATCTTGGAGTATTTGCGTAATGTAGGAGGCGCAGATTCGATAGCCAAAGAAACAGCATTCGACGACTACATATTTAAATTATACTTAACCAGTTAGTCGTCAGTATCTGTTAATATGATGTGTTTTGTATACCTTCCAAGTGCAGATCATTGCTGCATGCAATCATCGTCATATGCTAAGCTTTTAGAAGTTCTCAGAAAGTTTGTTTATCTGGGTGTTTGTGTTATTTTTAATCACATATTGAAAGTTGGGGCAGGATACGCCAATCTTCGGAGCCGTTGTGGTGTTAATTTAACCTTCCTAGTCAGAATTTACTAGTTTTCAGTTCATATAGTCGAGCTGTACTACTGTGAAATATGGCCTTTCTTTGCTAAGGTTGTGCGACGGTTTTGAGTTTCCTATCGTCGTTGTCCATGTACGATTGCTTCCACCTATTCATGGTGCCATGTCCTATGGAATGTATTTGGATATACTGGCGATTGTCTCTCCTTAAATGATATCATTTTGAGCCACTAGCATTGGCGAATTGGACACATGCTACAAAAAATCATCCCACTGGCCTCTGTACCGTTTACTGTTTGCTAGCTGTGGAAATGGTTGGTCAGCGCATGATTTTGTGATATTATAGGATAGTCGTTTTGGCTTCGCTTCTATCTATGTATCATGATTCCCTCAGTAAGGTTCGTCAGATCGATGAAATCAGTGGCTTGAAATCTCATCAAACATAACTCAGATTATAAATCAGTGGTGAATATCATGTAGTTTCCATGTTGTTTGAACCACCTAGGATATATATATATATATATATATATATATATATATATATATATATATATAGTTTTAAGTGTTTCTATTATCCCAATATATATTTATGTGTGTGTATGTTGGCCTCTCTTTCTGTTTGCTCTCTTAGTCTGTGACCATTTCACTTGTGTGAACTTGTCTCCTTTATTAATGTGTATTCTCCTTATATTATATTATATATAATATGAGTGTTTGTTGACAGTCCGTTGCTTGGTGACATATATCCATATATGGTTGTTCACATGTCCGCTATATTCGCTATGTATATTTGGATCGACACTTCATTATAATTAGCCATCCATGTTAAGACTGTCTAATGATTTATTCCCACGCTTTGTCTGGAACATTCATATATATATTTCGCATTCACAATCTTGTGACTTTACAACTACTTTACTTTACTTACTTACCTTTGGTGTGAGACCATTTTATTTTCGTCTCCTTGTGTTTGGACAATAGAAGTATCATCGCAAACCTAGTGGTCTTCTGATTTCCGCCTTCTCGCGTAAGGACTATTAGTTTCTCGACCAGACCATAACAACTTAGCGACGAGTACATAACAATTTGGCGACGGGGAAAACTAGTACATAACAGTTTCAGAGACCCGAAAGTCACTTCACTCATCTTATCACTTTGTTTTCCTTTTTTGTAGACAAAAGACAAGTAGTTCAGCGAAGCGTCTCTTTTCGGCGAACTCCTTTTTTGCTTTATTTAGTCAATGTTCAGGAAGGCGTTTTTCATATTGATTATTTTTTTTCTTTTTGATTTTTGCCTTCGTAGGTATTATCACCGTCATCCGCCTGTTGGACAGATGTAAAATCTTCAAAGTTATTGATAAATGAATCCACATTCAACGACCGATCAGAAACATTTTCGCATAGACAAGGTACTCCACCAAAAGAACTTACAAAACCTTTGACTATTGAAACAAAGTTATGGTGTGATTCTGTAGAGCATTTCACTGCAGAAGGCTCAACGAATTCTGTTACAAATGAAATGTATCCTACTGGTTCATCAGTTAACTCATCTGGTGAACTCGGTGCTGGTGGTGGTGGTTCTAGTGCTGTTTTCGACTCTCGTCCTCAAACACGTGCACTGACTAGAGCCTCTATGAAACAAAACTCGCATATCTCTACACCTGTATCATCAAATGAAGAAGGAATTTCGAATAATAATAATAAAATATCATCAGGTGGTGTACAGTCGAATAAATCCGATCGAATGCATTATGATTGCGGTGGCTTGAATTCATCCAATGCATACAATGCTGATGTCTTATCCAAGGTGAATTCATCGACTGAAAATACTTCTATTGATTGTAAGTGAATTTGTTATACCTAGTATAATGCATTGTATTTTTCACGTATATACAGACAAATAACTCATTCGGCATACTGATATTGATTGTTGTTGTTTTCTTAGCTAGGTAGGTTGTTTATAGTCTAAGTTTTCCAGAACAGTCAATCAAGTATATTGTAGAACTGAAGAAAAATGGATAATGATATATTTTCAAGTATTGGTTTTGTAGGGATTTTTGTTTGATTGCATGGAGAATTTCACCATGAGCTGACATCAATTAGAGGACCAATGGAAAACCTGGCCAACTGTTTCGTCCTAGTTTGGGACTCTTCAGCAGTACCATTGGATCGGGTCCAGTGGCTCAATGGTCTATGAGCTCGCCTAGTAACCAGAAGGTCCTGGGTTCGAATCCCACAGTGTGTGTGTACTGATGAAGAGTCGAAAACTGGGACGAAACAACTGGCTGACCAGTACTCCCAGGTTTTCCAACGATTCTATAACTGATGTCAGCGCATGATGAAATCCTCCATGCAATCAGATATTGATATGTGTTTTCATTTTTACTCTCTAAGCTGAGGGTATGAAACACATCAGTGTTTTACGTCGTGAATTCGAACAGCGCTGTACTTTTTGGAGGATTGGATAGTCAGGTGATAGTATTTATTACTACTATTATTCCCTCGGATTCTAAATGGAAAACAGGACTTCAGTAACTCATTACCATTTCATCCTATTTCCTGCAATCGTGTTTTGATGACTCCACTATTGCCCATAGGCGTTCACTTACTACTCTTACAACCTCCTCCAAGTCACCCTCGGATGGACAACTCTTTTCTCATTTGGGTTCTACTCAATGGCGTCGCGTATGATGTCATTCAACAACCTCTTCAATATATGTACGATCTATCTCCATTTTTTTCTGCGTATTTGTTGGACGGTGGGTTGTTAGTTGGTTCATTGTCTTACTTCCTGACTAGCCATCCGATCTTCATTATCCCACCTGACAAGGTAGCTCTCTTGATTGATGAGAGCCTGTAGCAGCCTGTTTGAATTACGCGTCAAGTCTCTCAACTATGTAGAGTCACACTGATTTGACATTATTGCTGAGAAAATCCTAATTTTGTTCCCCTGTCCTGAGTAGAGTGGATTTGCACACTGATTTCAGATTAATGAAGTTCAATTTTGCTTTTCCAATCCTGCATTTGATACACGTTATGAGTAGTTAAGCTAGTTTTGCTTTTACGGCTGCAGACTTCACTTCCCGACAGTAGGTGGAAGGTATTGAAGATTCCCAGGTTTGGTTTTTGTTCAGTGTGACTCATTTCGTTTGGTATTTCACCTTTGTAAGGATTTTCTGCGTATATATATATATATATATAATTTTCAGTCATGATAGATATTTTCATTTGTTTGAACTTATTGTAAAAATATGTTTGCATTTTTTTGCGCTTTTCGTCGTCAGACAGTTAGAATATTAGTGTGTGGGTTATTTTAAAATTAAGTGTTTTTGATGTAGTTGTGTTCTCTGAGCTGGATGATTTATTTGCGTGAGAGATGTATAATTTGACTTAGCAAGGCTTAAAGTAAGTGGGCACTAAGCTACTTACTATAAACGACATCTCCCTACAATCAGGTTACCCTCTATGCCATGCCAATACCCTTAGGCAGCCCTCAGCCACCAACTCTCCTTAATCATATCAAGGTGATATAATTATAAGCAATAATTTATGCTCGAAACGTCATCAGTAAATATTACTGTATAATAATGTGAGACTTTATCAAAATGAAAATTTTACCCATAATGGAGTTATACTCTACCTCAGTGCCCAAGATTTATCCTTATATCAATGATACATGAGAAAAATATTAGAAAAATTTATTCTTCAGTAGAATCCTAGAGACGAAATGACGCGGGCTGGTAGAAGCCTTCGGAAAGCCAGTTAGCCTATGTGCTTGCTTTCGATAAAAGCAAAAATCAGCACACAGGCGTGGAATATTCGAAGGAAATCGAGATGGATGCGGCATACTCTGAGGAGACAATTGGGTGACATCACATGCCAGACGGCCAAATGGAACCTGATTGACGAGCAAGTCGGGCGTCTGACAGTGACATGGAGGAGATTGTGTGAGGAGAAGATAAAAGCTTATGGAAAATCTTGGTGCCAGGTAAAGAGGATTTCATAGGAAAAGATGAAATGGTGACGTGTTATCGAAGCCATACGTCCCACTTAGAACCAAAGGGAATATTAATAATAAAAAGTAACCTAAGGATAATGAAATACATATGTATGCTTGACAACCACTTGCAATTCCCTTTTGTCGGCAATGGGTCACACCTGTTATGTGAAGGCCAGTGATACTATCTGACTGCCTAAACCTGGGTGTAGGACAGGAAAGTGGTTCAAACCCGTGTCGAACGTCTAGGCCAATGAACCACGGCTCCACAAGAATTGAAGATTTACTCATCAAATTCACCTTATGCGCCTAATCTAAAGTATAGAAGGGAAGATAATGGAAAGTGTTTTGTAGAATTCTTCATAAACGTAAGTATCTTTCCTAAACAAAACAAAATGCATGAATCATAAGAATGAGTCATTGGAAAAAGAGCATCTTTAAAATTGGTGGAAAATGAATTTTATTAAAGCCTAAGGCAGAAGTTGGTGGGAAAGAGAAAAAAAAACATGCGATCAGAAATTACGTAGGTCAACTGCTGGTTCTTGGCTTTTTATCTGAAATCTTTGATCATTGGAAGCATAAGCATATTTGAATACACCTGTACTAAGCGGTCCACTACTACTGCTACTAAACATCGATTATGGATACAATCATAAAACAAACGTTACTTCAGTTTTGAAGCTATACTGATTTCAACTTCAGTCACTGGATACTTACTTTACTACTCATCTGTGACGTCAGATAGAATAAGTTTATCACTATTAATAATGTCAAAATCTAGAGAAATGCAGTTTGATAGAAATCTTGGTCGAAATATTTTTTTTTCAAGCATTGGTTTTGGATTGGTATTGGATTTGATTTGATTGGTTGGAGGATTTCATCATGAGCTAACATCAGTTAGAGAACCATTGGAAAAACCACCTGGGAGTACTGGGCAGCCAACTGTTTTGTCCTAGCCCTTTCGGACTTTTCATCAGCACGCACCCACCGGTCTACAAGCTCGCCTTGAAACGAGAAGGTCCTGGGTTCGAACCCCGGTGGGTGCGTACTGATGAAGAGCCCCAAACTAGGGTGAAACAGCTGGCTGTCCAGTACTCCCAGGTGATTTTCCAGTGGTTCTCTAACTGATGTCAGCGCATGATGAAAATCTTCCAACGAAATATTATTCATTTAAATTGACACTAATAGATTAAGACAATACGTGTAACTTGATGTTAATACTGGTCAGAGATAGGCTGAGGAATAAGTGAGGCGGCTAACCACTATCTTCATATAGTCCTTCTGTAATCAACAGAGTCGCCTTTGTCACTTAGACCTTCTTGTAAACATAGGCATCTGTAGCATGCATCCACATCATGGGGTGACATAAGTTTATCTGTTCAGGAATTCTGCTACATTTCACGTAACTGTATATAAACTATATTCCATAAGGACATATAGAACAGGTAAGAATATACCATTCTGTCTGTACATAGTTTAATTCTTAAGATTCGCCCATCTTCTCTGACTGCTAGTAGTTGTTGTTATTTGTTCATTTCTTATTGACACTTGTTTTTATACTTTCTTCGGTTCCGAATGTTAAATAGAACTTTGGGCTTTAAACTTTTAAGTTTCAGCAGCTAAGGTATTATTTTTGTACAACCGTGTTTTTAGCCTCATATCCAACCTTCGCTCTTTTCCTAGTTTACTGTTGGCTAATAAACTAGGTGAGGCTTAAGAGTGCGCGTTGGCACGTTCGCTATGGCCTGCGGACCATGTGCAGGGTTGGCGAGCATTTTTCCATTTGAACCATCGATTCACATTCATATTTCTTAATGCATATTAATTAATGGTGAAACAATAACAAAACCTATTCACGACAATAAAATAACGAATGATTTCTATGATCATTATTTTATAAAGAAACTTCTCAATGAATGAAGGGATGAATGGGAAAGTATTAGATGAATGACTAATGTAAAACATATAGAACTAGAGTGTATATTTGTTGTTTATGATTGGGAATAATCTTGTTTTTATTAGATACTTGGAATCAGTCGGCAGAAAGTGTTGTCTGATGACCTAGGTTGCATGATTCTTAGTTTATTTGCAAACTCAAAGGAAACTGATCTCCTCTCTGAGGTCATCAATATGCGTCATCCAACTCTGTAGTTAGAGACGCTGCCGTGAGTATGAACTCTTGTAGGACTGTAATGGATACATTGGTTGGTCACTTGAGAGAGTAACCCACGTCATGGTGAGCCACTTTGGCTTTATATGACCATCATATTCTTCACCAATGCCAAGGTCACTGAACTGTGTCACTGAGTTTAATGAGAGCTTAATGAATGGTTGATTACTGATCTCCCTAGTCAGATAATAGATGCCAGTAGGTATAACATGGTTAGGATTTAGTACCTATTCATAGAAAATTACAATCTCTTTTGTATATCTTGAAATATATCTATTTAAATTGGTGGCTGAGAATATTAGTCATTCCATATGCAGCTATGCATGAGGTTGCATATTTTTGATATATTATATTGATTAGAGCTAGAAAACGCATTGTGAATCTGAAAAATGCTTTAGGCGAGCAGTATAGAGACAGGCTTATAGTAATTACATATTTCTTTTTAAATGTCTGATAATATAGTAGGTAGGAGGCTTTTATAGCTTAATGAGAAAAAAAATAAGCAATAATTATATGAATTAATATGTTGTTGAAGCATAAACGTAGCTGATGATTATTTTTTTTGACGACTAATGAAAGTGACAAAATTACGTGTTTACTTGATTGATTCGTTTTTCGTTGTTGTTGTTGTTGTTATGATCATACTTTTGAAGGACTTGGTGTTTTCAAGTATTGGTTTGTAGAGATTTGATTGATTGGTTACAGGATTTCATAATGAGCTGACATTGGTTAGAGAACCATTGGAAAACCTGGGTTTTCAGGTAGGTAGTCACCTGGGGTTCTAGTGGGAAGTCGTGATCAGTGGGGTGCAACAAGTCGGGTGTGAGGACAAATACTCGCCGAAGACATTGGCTAGCAGTCGCGCCATGTCGTGAATTGGCAGAAGTTGGAATTCGTGGACTGGCCATTAGATCAGGTCCCAGAGGCTTAATGGTCTGCAAGCTAGCTCGCCTTGTGACCAGAAGGTCCTGAGTTGGAACCCCACATTGTGGATGCATACTGATGAAGAGTCCCAAACTAGCACGGACGAAAGAACTGTTCAGCACTCCCAGACTTGAAGTTTGTTAGGATGTGAAAAAGAAACAGACCTTGTTCTTTCCAGGTGTTGGTTCACAGGGATTTGATTGGTTGCAGGTTTGATCATGAACTGACACATCAGTTAGAGAACCATTAGGAAACTAGTGGGTACTGCTTGTGATAGCTGTTTCGTCCTGGTTTGGGCTTCTGCATTACTATGCTTGAACTTGAAAACATCCGGTTACAAGTCAAGCTCTCAGACCAATCAACAACTGGGACCCACGGTCCGGGTTCAAAACCTGGAGCTTTAAACTAGGACGAAACATCTATACAGTACTCCCTATTTCTCCTTGTTGTTATTTTGTAACCACCAATGTTTTTCTTTTTGAATAAAATTTTTTAAATTTTTTTCTTTTTTCATTATATACAGCAAATATGTTGACTCCTTCCACACATCGAAGTTCTAAGTATCCAACTAGATCATCTACACGAATGGATACGCTTGCTTCGCATAATTTAGCAAATCGTCGGTCGAATCCTGTTCCAATTCAAATTAGTAATATTAGTCCATCGAAAATGAATAGTACCAATTCTGTTCAACACACTACGACGAGTACTATTACTAATACTACCACCACGATTATTAGTAGTAGTACTCTAACTACTCCAACTTATTTATCCCCTTTTATAACATATGATTATATAAAAGCAAAACATTCACCCAGTATCTATCCTCCACCACCTTTGAGTATGGATGAATTAAATATATTATTGGATAAAATTGATGAACAAATTAAATTATGTATTAGCGCTTTAATTGAAGAAGAAGAGAAACGTCGTTCCTATCGTATAGATGATGCTAGACGTGTACATAATTATGAACCATTTATACGTGCATTTCTTACAGCTTTAGCTAGACATGGAATGTTAAAAGATCAATTATTAACAGTTATGCAATTGAAAAACTCAAATTCTACTAATCAAAATCATACTTTGTCTACAACACAAGGAGGATTAGATAATTGTAAAAAGTCAAATGTAAAAAATACTTCTACTACTACTACTACTAATACTAATGCTACTTCTACTGTTGTTAATACTAGTAATACTAAACGACATATCATGAATAAATCTCATCCTGAACGTGTTTATGCATCATTCACGAATACGAGTTCATCCATTAAAACTAGATCTTTTCGTTCAAATTCTTTAATAATGAATAGATTAACTCGTGTTAATTCTTCATCTACAAACAGTATGACGAATAGTCTTCGTGTTCCACATCATCATCATCATTATACCTCTATAAATTATCGTAAATTACGTACAAGGAATAGAGAAAATCCTGTTAGAAATTTACGTTTACGACGCAATGGTAGATGTACCATTGTAGATGAATCATCATCACAGACCTCTTCAATACAAGAAAAAGAAAAATCCGGTGATAATCGACTATCAAGTGAATCTTCTACAGTAATCGATGTAATAAATGATGATTTACTATGTAGTGGTATAACTACACGCTTAAAACAAAATGGTACACGTCAAACATCAAGTTTGTCTATAGGACAAAATAAAAATTCATGTGCAATACAAAATAATCCAAGTGAACAACACCAACAGTGTGATGAAGAAAACAACGAATCAATACCTGGAACTGTCTTCACAAACTCCGCATCTAGTAATAATTTATGTACAGATAATTATCATCAGAAATCGTGTACGACGACTACAACTACTACCACTACAGTCCTTATTGATGAAAACTCCATAGTTGAAGGTAATGTATTATCTTCAACCTTATCGTCAGCCACATTAGCAACATCTTGTTCATCGTGTGGTTCATCGCCTCAATCATCGAATTCATCACGATCAACTAATCATCTATCTATTCCTTATGGTAGTAGTCGTAGTACTAGTAGAAAGACAAGTCGTCAAATGAAAACAAATGACGGAAATACAACTACAAGTACCACTACTACTACTAGTAAGCGTTCATTACGTCCACGTGTTTCACGTGAACAACAAATCTCTTCCCAACATGATATACAGAATTCAACTGATTCAGTTAGTGTAACATCCGAGGAAACTGTAGATACAAATACAAGTGGAGCTGGTAGTGGTAGTGGCGTTGGCGGTATAACATTAAGGGATAGGACAGTGAAGTCTTCACGCACAAACAATAATAATAATACAGATTTGACAAATGGTACTTCTACTGCCACTCCTACTACTAGTACTACTGCAAATACAGATACATCTAATTCATCAACTACTCAACGAATTCGTAAACGACGCCTTCTTTAATGATATTTATAAGTTTCTGCCACAATCATACTTTATATCATCATTGTCTTTCTATATATATATATATACACCTAATTATGGATGGATGCTTTATCAGTTGAACAATTGTTGAAGTTGTTGTTATTTTAATTATTGTAGTTCATATCTATCTATCTATCTATTAATTTGTTTGTTTGTATTTTTACACAAATTGCATCTTCTTGTACACATGTATCAAAGGTATCCCCCTAATATCGATTGTAAAGTATCCTTCCCCTTTTTATATAATAACTGCAAAAGAGGAAAGTTTTCAACATTTTGTTATTATTATGTAATATTAAGCATGGCTACTACTATTACTATTATTACTACTGCTAACTAGTAGAATTTTATTTCACTTGGGTTATACACTCATATTTCTCTTCTTTTCTTCAGCGTTTTTACTTGTCTTGTTTTCATTTCTTGTCGTGTACACAAATGAAGTGTTGCTGTCGTTGTTGGCGTCTTTGTTGAGATGGTAAGAAACCCAGTGTAAACCTTTTTAATTTAGTCTTTCTTTTAGACTTTATTCATTCTTTGCTTGTAATTTGTCGGTTTGCCTTTTTTATGTTTATCTAAGCGCAGTGGAGAAAGAGGGAAGGTGAATATATATTTTGTCATATGCGAAATTGAATAAATTGAATATTTCGCGTGAACACTGTAATATATTATTATTATTAGTAGTAGTAGTATTACTTTTTAATTTCTCTTGACTCGATCCATCTTTAAGGGATTAGTGCACGATTAAGTGATGTATAAACCTGTGAATATGTACGTCTGTTGTACAGTGAGTAAAGTATATTATAGTGATAAGATCAACAGTGGTTATGCCAACATCCACTGCGAGTGTATTTCAGTTTATTTTCGTTTGATTGTTTTGTTTTCATGTAATATCAATAAAAACGCACAGTAATAGTATTAATAGTAGTAGTAGTCGTCAAGGCCTCTTTTGTGAACATATAGTGTACATATAGCTATTTATCTATCTATCTATCCATCCATCTATCCATATAAATGCATTCATTCAATATATTTCAGTTATCTGTCGGCTTTTTTTCTTTTTTTGATTTTTCGTCTGCAACATTACAACCATATTGTTGTAATTTTAGATTACTTGTGTAAAAAAATGTTCTTCTTCGCCTATATTTTCTCTTCTTAAAAATTACTGCTGCAATAGGAAATCGGTGTTTCTTTCCCCTCTGGCCCACTCCCTGACACCTTGTTGTATATTTTACAATAATGGAGGATAAGTAATCTTTTCAAATTTCTCTTACAAGAGAAATTGGGTGTTGTTCTTGCTTGTTGTTGTTGTTGTTGTTAAACCTTTTACTAGAGACAAATAAATATTTTCTACAAAGTATAAATAAATGAGATTGAATATGATAGACACTCCAATGGACGATTTGTTGTTGTCGTATTTGTTTGCCCGCCCGCCCGCTTGTCTTTTTCAACAAGAAAAAGAAAATTAAGCCTTTTAATTTGATGTGTTTGATAATCTTCTATCCATCATCTTTATGCATTGGATTTCTTTTAGTCATTACATGTGGAAGTGTTTTCTTCAGAGTTTCCGCGGGGCCCCACCATCCATCTCTCCTATCTCTTTCTCCCGCCTTCTCTCTCTCTCTCTCCGTGTCTCCCTTTCATCTCTTTATCTTTTACACATTGGATACAATATGTTCTATGAATTCACCGCATATGTAATAATGATAATTATAATAGTAATTGTAGTAGTAATCAAGTAATCGAATTGTATTCAGATTAGTAAAGAAAAGAGATCAGGTTGTTGCTTTTCTATTGTATTGTATTGTCTTATCTATCTTATACTTATCATTATTATTATTAGTAGCAGTAATAGCACTACAATTACTGCTATTATTATCATTACTCTTGTATTGTTATTTACCGTTTATTACTATTGTTATTGTAATTACTGTAATTGTATCACTGCACCACTACATAGTCCTAATTTCCTTTGTTTGTTTTTTTGTCTAATTATATACACACCTATGTATATCTTTTGTTGAGAATAGTGATCATATAATACTATTATTATTATTATTAAATTTGGATTGTTCTTTTTGATTTTAGTGAGAATTCTATCCCTCACTGATGATTATCCTTATTGTACAAGCCGGAATTTCCTGTCCATAAGCATGCATATAAATGCATGTATGTATATGTATATGTGAAAAGACTGATGAGGGGTTTTATGCATTATCGTTATGTTTCCTTGTTTGTTTTTTTTTCATTTTTGTTTCATATTTTCTTTTCTTTTTTCTCTCTCCTTCTTTTTATCAGAATTTGAAAAAAAAGCAGCAAAAATTCAACTGTGTTTTGTTCTGTTTTGTTTCGTTGTTAGCGTTGATGTTGTTGCTGCCTCTGCTGCTGTTATTTCGCTCATTATGCAATTGGGTATTAATTATTAAGGGAATAAAGAAGAGGAAAAAGCAGGAGGAATCCTGAACTAATTTGTTTAACGAATCAGTGTTAGGAAAGAGAATAAGAGAATGTTCGATAGATTAGATACTGTGTAGTAGGAGAACAGGATTTTGACTTGGAGAGAGAGAGAGGGAATAGATGAATGATGAGATTACCAGTTGGCTTGATGTGTTATTCACATCAATTTGATTCCCTTTGCATCAAGAATGGAGCATAGGACTTACATGCTTGAGCTTTGAAATTTCAGTGATAGTGGTTTTAGTCGTTGTTTTTTTTTAAAAAAAAATTACAGGATGGGTTTGTTAGCCTCAAATCTAACCTTGCGTCTTCATTGTGCTTACTACGGGCTACGTGGGGTTTAGGAGTGAGTTAGACAGGGATCGAACCCTGGACTATGCATGTGGTTGGTGAGTATTCTACTCATGCATTAATGACGTATAGTGATACAATATTGATAAGGGTGGATGTTGTTTTGAGTACAGTTTATTGCTGGTCATATTATCATATCAATATATGTATATTTTCACACACAGCTTCATAATTTGCTTTATGCACATATTTTCATTTAGTCCCCGCCTAATATCGATGTTGCATAATTTCAATTACATGTGTTTGGTGTGTTGATTCGATGGCTAACGTCTCTTTCTCTCTTTCCACCTGACTATATAATTTTTAGATACTTCCAGCTTAATCATACCCTTTGATGTGATTATATACAAGTGGATGCATTGCAATGACCGAGCTCATATTAAGATTATTTAACTTAGCGGGATTAACCATTCAGGGTCTAGCTAAATTCCTATGTTTTGATAATCTAAATGACTCCAACCTACAGGTTTGACTTGTGTAATTTACCTTACAGTCAGTTCATCGTATTGGGTAAATTATGTTATTATTTTCTAATACGGTCTATCGGGTACCTTAAGCCGACAAAGTTTGTCTCGGAGTGAATGAGTTGGTTGGTTGATTGATTTAAATGCTATCCTAATTTCAGCCTTATTAAGTAATTATCCTTAAAACATCACCCTCAGTTACTAATATTGTATCACTGTTTGTGTATTATCAAATGTGGAACCACTTTCTACCACAAGGCACAAATTCTACATTTACATAAATTATATCTTATAGTCTTAGCGCGACGATTATGTCTGTAGAGTTAGGATACAATGAATTACTACTTACAGCTCTGTACACACATCCTTTGACGAAAGATAGTCAAATGTATTGAAAGTTGAAGGATTTCAAATTAAGCCTTTTCATCCGTACTGAGATGTCATCAAAAGCGACTGGCCCTATTCAGGTAGGTAGTTACCTGGGGTTCCAATGGGAAGTCGTGACCAGTGTAGGGTGCAGGAGGTCGGGTGTGAGGACAAATACTCGCAGAAAACATTGGCTAGCGGTTGCGCTATATCGTAAACTGTCAGAAGTTGGAATTCATGGACTGGCCATTGGATCGGGTCCCAGTGGCTTAATGGTCTGCGAGCTAGCTCGCCTTGTAACCACACCCGCAGTGTGGATGTATATTGATGAAGAGACCCTAACTACAACGGACTAAACAGCCGTCCAGTACTCCCAGTTTTTCCAATGGTTCTCTAACCAATGTCAACTCATGATGAAATCCTGTAACCAAAAGCCAGTCCGTTATGGCTGATACAACTACCCAAATATTGAAGGGTGATCTACACACTCAGCTATTTCACTCCGTATCCTTAAACTAGGAGTGAAACAGCAATAAAATGTCGTAAATTGTATAGTTTTTTTTTCATTCTTTGAGTTAGATAGGAATGATGTCAGAAGATAATGCGGACTCCATAGATGATTTTCTGACTTTGAATGTTATTTTCCTTCTGCATTAATGGGATCACTGATGTAGTACTCTAGCTTTTCTTACTATATTGGTGATAATGTGTTAATACTGCTGATTTGTGGGGTTGCATGCTTATACTGACTGCTGATTATTTCTAACCTGCAGAACCGACGCGAATAAAGATGGAAGACAGGTTAAAACCGTTTGATTTTATAATGCAAAAGTACATTTTACGCAAATATTTCGTACCTCGGAAAGTTAAACTGGCAAATAGTCAATCGTACTGGTTGCACAAGGTTAGGCCTCTAGATTTTCCAATCGCATGGTAATAAATATCCTGTCCTGACTGGATGGTTAAATTTGTCTATTCAGTTTTAATCTTGTCTTAGCCTGTTTTAGCTGGTATGGGCCTTTTTTCACCTGGTTTTAATCGCTTCCTATCATCTACACGAAACCATTAAAACATGTTAAGACCCTTATATTTTAAAACTGGTATGTTTATTCACATAATGATTGATGACCATTCATTTCTATGTATGTGTGTTGCAAGTATGAAATTCACCCTTTGAATCATTCGTATTTAAGCTTAAGCCAACATACTGTTTACTTGGGTTGTAGCTTTTGTTACTAAATCTTAATTATGCTTGACAAATACATTTCATATGATAGAGAAGATTTGTAGCTCAGGTGGATAATTTTGATGTGGTTTTGTTCTCTGAGCTGGATAGTTAGTTTGCGAACTAACTATCCAGCTCAGAGAACAAAACCACATCAAAATACATTTCATCGCATGCATGTAATGTTGTTTAGGATGTGGCCATAGAAAAATGTACTTGAGTACTTTGTGACTGTATACCATCATGGCAAGCAAAAATTTCTAAAGATTGTTAGAGTTGTATTCAAACATTTATTGAAATAATGATAACATCCTAATGTGTACAATAGCTTGACTCATTTAATTGGTGGGTGGTGGCTAGCAGTGGAATCCAGGATGCGCATTTCGTCCTATTTGGGACTCGTCATCTGGATGTACCTGCATCCCCCAGTGAGTCAGTGATGATGTTCCCACCGAGGCTCGAACCCAGTACCCATAGTTTCAAACGCCAAAGCGTTATCCACTAGACCACTTGGGCCACCTCTTGACCCCGTTGCACAAGAGGTGGCCCAAGTGGTCTAGTGGATAACGCTTTGGCGTTTGAAACTATGGGTACTGGGTTCGAGCCTCGGTGGGAACATCATCACTGACTCACTGGGGGATGCAGGTACATCCAGATGACGAGTCCCAAATAGGACGAAATGCGCATCCTGGATTCCACTGCTACTCACCATCCACCAATTAAATACTAACTGAATGCCCAGACATCGTTGAAGCATCTGCACAAGAAGCCGACATGTCAACCTGAGACCGAGCACTTCGGTCCAATCAATCGACGGGAGAATCTTATATTCAATAAAAAAAGCTTGACTCATTATTTTCAACCTAATAATAACAACAACACAGGAGCATTAGTGGAATAGTTTAAATTTTTCTGCTTATCACATGTGTAATCATGTGTTGCTTTTTAAAGAGATACACTACTTGCATTAGTCACATCATTATTCCGAATCAGTTTTTATTCTATTAATCAGTGAGTTGTGAATAGCTCTTTCGTTGAATACTTTTATAATATTGATTTCTACCTGAGAATTTGCTTATTTTATAAAATTACTTAGCACGTATGTCAAATTTTCATCATCACTCCTTTTTGTAACATATGCGAGATATTAGAAGCAATGATATGTTGTAGATTCTGAAATAATGGCGAAGATTTGTAGTTCAGGTGGATGATATTGACATAGTTGTTGTTCTCTGAGCTGGTTAATTTGATGGCGAAGGTTTCGTCGTCCTCCATCTTGAGAACATCTTCAGCACAGGTTTTAGAGCATAAAATGAACCGATTTAAATTCTTCATGAATGGTGCAATTATATCTCCTGACAACTACAGTCGTGACTGGTTGTTAATTTACGTTTCTATTGATCATTTTTATTGACTTGGGATTCGAACTTTCTTGTCATGTGATTTACTTTTTATTAGCTGGTAAATTTGGTCTATAGTAATGTGTTTGTTAATTGCTAATTCACACTTGAGTACCAGGTTTTTAGGAATTCTTCGGCATTTATGGTGTTTCCTCTATTTATGAAAAGAAAACACGTAGATCAGCTTATAATGATTGCGTCGCAGTGCTTTCCAGAACCACTTTGGATACTGATGATCAGCAACGCAATCCTCGAAAAAACTAACTTTCGCTTTCCTCACAGTAAGCTTGACAGAATACCGTAGAAACCCCTTTGTTTTCCTTGACTGTCGAGGGGTCCTTGCTACGTTTCAATTCATGGATAATCCCCATCCAGGCATTAATGAAAACAAAACACGTAGATCCTCTATTTAAACTTTCTACATTATCCCAATCAAATTGGTGTCCATAATTATCCGTATGCATTGCCACGAAAGAATATGTATCGTGTCTTTTTACAGCTAATTTGTGTTCTTGGGTTCGGATTCGAAGAGGGCGATTTAATGTTTATTTCAGTTCACACAGTTTCTTTTGTAAATGGTATTGATCTAATCTTTTTCTGTTGATTCTTTTGGTTTGCACGATGTCGAATGAAGTGATTGTGTTGGCTGGCTTGTGTGCTATATGTATTTCAAACGATCTTATTACCCTGGCTGTTATTTCGGATTCCATTCTAAACCTACAACAAGGTAAAGTACTGTAGAAGATGAAGACAAAGGTGAGTGAGGATTAGAGAGGTTTTGTGTGCATTTCGGATTGTGAGGGCGTTTGTTACTTCCTGGCTGCCCACACCGTGGAAGTTGGTTGCATGACCGCAGAGCCCAGGGGACAACTGCCTGAGGCTGGTCACACGCGGCCTGTTTTTGTCTGTTCTTTTTTGTTTTGTGTGTCTCAGTAGCATATTTATCACTCCTGCCCTGTGACACGACAGTAGGAAGCGCGGTCGTTGTTAATCCGGGCCACGGCCGATCCGGCATGATATTTTTTGTGAATTTGTTTGAATCATGGTATTGGATGGGGTAGCTGCTTTT